TTAAAGTATAAATACTTTATTAATTAAAATTATAATAGAATAATTTAAATTAATAAGTAATTTTAAAAATAAAAAAAATCAAGAACTAAATAAATATAATTTTATTAATAAATTAAATAGTAATAATAATAAGAATAATAATTCAAGTATTAATAGTTTGAAGATATAGAATAATTAATTTTTAGAATAAAAACAAATATTAATTAATAAAGAAATAATATGTATAAAAAATAAAAAGACAGAATGAGACAAAAATTTACAAGATAATTTATTATTGAATTATTAATATTCTGCAAATAATATAAGATAAAATAAAGCTGAGTGAATTATTTAGTATATTATTTCAAATATCAAATTATATATATATTAGTAAAGAGTAATATATAGTTAGTCATTAAGTTTTTTTCTTTAATTTAATAAAAGTAATAATTTATATAATTATCTTTATGTTATATATTGAAATTTTATAATTTTTATTATTATAATATTATTATTAATTAAATATAATTCACTTTTTATTTTAAGTATACTCTCTTATTTAATATAATCTTTTGTAAATATTATAATACTCTCTCTATAAATAAATTATAAATATAATTATATAATTCTTTATATTAGAAGCAAAAATAGATAAATATATAATAACATTTATTATTTACTTATTAAAATTATAATTTAAAAATTTTTTTATATTACTTGAATGGACAAATCATGTGAATAATCATATTTAATATGTCATCTTTCAATAAAAAATCTTCTAATAGAATATGTCATTAGAATGACTAGATAGCTGAAATATTTTAAATATTCAATAAGCTTCTAGTATTTCAATAAGCATCATTGATTTAATATATATTTTAAATAAAATTAATCTCTAAATTAACTTAAAAATATTATTTAAATATTTATATAATTAAATTACTAATACATTTTTATTCAAATTATTCAAAATTATTCAAGAACTAATACTAATTTTAAGTATATTTAATATATATTCTGAAGTTATTATATATAATAAAATTTAAATAAAGTAAATTTTTATTTATAATAAAGTTTTTTGATATATCAAATTTTTTTTAATAATTTTCTATCTGAATATAATAAAAATCTGATTATATCAAAAAAATAAATGAAATAAATCACTTTATTATATTCTAATTTACTATATATATATATATAATATTTTCTTTAATAAAATTTATAATTAAATATAATAATTAAATATAATTCAATATTAATTATTATAAATTTTAAAAATAAATATTTTTAAAATAAGTTATAATTTAATACATTTAATACTGAAAATAAGTTAGTTTTTCTTTTAATTTTTAAATTATACAAAAAATATAGTAAACTTTTGAAATTTATAATATTTAAAGATATTAAACTGGTATTTTGATTTGATTTTTAGTTTAAAATCAAATCAATAAAGAATTATAATTAAATTTGCATACTTGAATTAGACTGGATTCAAGTTCAAATTCAAACATTCAAAAAAAAAACTTAGTCAATATATCAAGTGCTATTAAAAATATATTTTAATATTCTATATAGTTTGAACAGATTTTTTGAACAACTTTGAACTAAGATATTTGCTTGAACCGATTTAAATATCAATTCTGAATATAATGAAAATAACTCTTTCAAAAAATATATATTAAATTATAAAATATGCTCTTTATCTTGATGTAAATATAAAAATATTATAAAAATTTCTGTATTTTTGATTATTGATTTTATAATAAAACGTGTTATTATACACAAATAATTTTGTCTGTCGATTATAGAATTATGAAGTGACACGTAGCTTGGATGTATGTTTTTGATGCTTCAAATTCATACAAACATTTTGTTCTTATTCAATAATCAATACAAAATATGAGTTCTACAGAGAATTTCTATAATAAATGATAATAGTTCTTCAAGAATCCTTCATTTTCATTATCTATATTCAAATAATCATTTTAATAATGTTCCTTGATGCAAGTTAGAGGCAAATAAACTGAATATACAAAAAATTTTCACATGACGATCGTTGATTCCTTAGTCCAGGGGGGATGCTCCGATTATTATACCAGGAGTTATCTTACTATCCAAAGAAACTAACGTATCGAATTCCTTAGATCTAAACAATCCAACGAAAGAAAAATGGGAGAATTTACTATTGTATTGATTAAATGAACAAATGAAAAGCGTAATATAAACCGAAATTCAGAAATAACGAAATTTTCTCAGGGAGTCATATTTATTTTGATCCGCTCGTGACGAGCAAAGATTATTCCTTGTATGGTCTAGACAACGTCTACTAAATTTGGACGAGATTGAATCGTACGATGACGCCGCCGTAGCGGCGACATGACAATGAAATGACAACGCCATGACGATGCGCTGTCAACAAATAACGTTAGTATAATGTTAAAAAGTAAGAGGAGACTTTTCGCTATTATTATAAGCATTCACTGCAAATGGGAAGATCTGTTACACACTAAAATACTATTTTCGGAATTAACGAATTATAAAAAAATAAAGTACGATAAGAACCTCTTACCGTGGATACAGCTTCGGGACGAATCGACATGATATCGTAAATTCCTGCAAAATCACCCGGGGTATGCTTATTTCACCAGAAAATTCAAATTAGAAAACTATTAATAAAAAAGAGGACGGTCTACTAGGATGGGGAGGTTGCAGGTTTGTAATATGCCATTCCATCAAAGTTAGTTACTCAAAAATCATTTTGTGGTAAACAGCCATCTGAGAACATTACAACGTTCCAAGAAGGCAATGCCGAAATTGAAGTTTATACTACGTTTATACCATTAATTTCCGTGAATTTTCATGAACTCCTTATTAGGTATAAAATACCCATGGTATGAATTGATAAATTTGGCTTCTAGTTGCTAATTTTAAAATACGAGTGCTAATTCAAGATTGACCAATCAAATTAAATTTAATGTTGCCAAATTTATCAACAAGGAAATTTTTTTAATTACTCTTTATTTACAAATTGTGTCTGGGACAAGCCAATAAATAAATAGGGGGGATGTTTGAAATACACTATAAGTATTGATTCTGTAAGCAAGATAGGCTCTTATTCCTAATTCCATTCAGAAACCTGGCCAATAACATGAATAAAGTTCTATTAAATCATTTTGTCTGTACCATTATTTGTGTTCACTCGTGTCTAATCACTTGATTACGCAATTGATAGTTTCATCTTATATATATGTTTTTCAATTATATGTAATCGATTTGTTTATTGTTCTTACATTATTTACTAATACCAAATAAGTCCTTATTATGCACGACTAGTAGAAATTACTGCTTTTCCAAATAAAAAAGGGTTTATCTTCTTTTTTCTTCGATATTTCTCGTTAGACATCTTTTGTAACAATAGCAAATCCTCTCACAACGATCCCATAATCTAAAAATAGTTCTTAACAATATCAAGGAAGTAAAACATATGTACATGTATTTTGATTACACAACACCGTTAAGAAAAGCAAAATAGTAACTTTTCTAAAAATCGTAAAAGGCTTTGCGTGACATAACACAAAGTGCTGATAATTATCGTGAAGAACGTCATTCTATGCGCTAGAACATATTTGCCTCATAATAAATGTTATCTATTTGAAAATGAACAAAATCGCCGAGATGTCATGTGAATTTCTGATTTATCATTCGGATAGAGATAGCACTTATTGCCAAGTAGAGTACATGTAGTTTGAAATTAGCACGAAAAGTGACGTGTATGGTGTATGTGCGTGCCTCTTAATCAACAACCAAGCAAAACCGTTCTGAACGAAACTACGCAAACTAGTTTCAATTCAGGTTAAATAATTTACGTATGTAAAACATGAGAATAATAAACGGGTGTATGTGTATGTATGTACATGTAATTTATTATGTATTAAATGTTTCGCGTTCCTTCAAACCTAATCTTTAGTATCGAAATCCCGACCCTTGTCGCTTTCTCTTAAATATTAACCAGTCGGTAATTGGTTGATTCTTTACAATGACTTTAATGACTTTGATTACACATCTTGCATCTACATACATTCATTGCATGGCACGCCGCGCATAGGTTAAATTATTTTTTTCCTATTCTAGTCTATTTTGATTTTTTATTTTATATTATGAATTTAATTTAGTCTTTTTGTTCTCTTTATTTTTACCCGGTTTCTCTTGTTAGATACTTGTTTATTTTTATCTTATTCTATTTTTGTTATAATCTTCGTTATCGCTTATCTTTCCGGTTATATCTTCGTCGATTGACTGTTTTTTTTTAATCTTGATCGAATTAATGTTTGGCACGCTTCTCTTTTTACACATTTAAAAAAAATTACATTTGATTTTGAGACACGTACACACACATATGTATACATATATATATATATATATATATATATCAAAAACCTTTCCAAAAATCCCTTCAAACATAATTAGAATTCGTAATCATCATCGGCATCGCATCATCTTCCTTCTTTATCTTTTGTGTAATACTAAAAAAACTACATGTACTAAACTGCTACAAAGAAAATCTACTCCTTTTCCACCTCACACACAACATAAATATTTAATTCAATAATCATCATCATATTCTCTACATTATATTTTTATGTTATCGTCATCTCTGCTTACCGTACTTGCATACTTACCAAAACATTCGAACACAACACAGCACAACTTTCGGGGTGCTTATTCGTCCATATCAAACACTTACCACTCTGCTTTGCACCTGTTTTGCTTCTTTCCCGTTTCCGCGTTACTTCTCGTCATTTATCCTATTACAACACGCATACACTCGCTCGTTTTACTCGTCTATTATTTCTTGAGCTGGATATAATTCACGATAAATCACATACTATAGAATAAATACTCTGAGCATAGTGTAGCAGTAATAAAAAAAAGTCTCCCGTCAGGTCAGACAAAGACACCTAACGAGTAGTTAGTTACTCAACGCTCTTCTACCAGAGAAAAAGAACTTTACACATATTATAATGTCGTTGTGGATGGATGTCCACATAACAACCACCGTAAGTGAGCTAGAGAAACAAAAAGAGGAAGAGGAGGAAGACGACGAAGAGGAACTATCAACAACTAATAAAAAAACATTAACAACGATACAACAAAAAAACTATTGTAAAACTTTTAGTGCTTTGTCAAACGCAAATACAACTTTCATAACACCGACGTATAATAAAAAATTAAGACCAAATGGCTTCTTTACCTTGACAAAATTAGTATTTATAACACTCCTTACTTTATTGTCATTGCTTAACACAGTACAAGCTTTGACCGCAGGAGAAGAAAGCATAATCCATAAACGATGTAAGTATTAATTCATCTACTATGCGAATATTTAATATCGGAGAAAATAAGGTGCATGAAAAAAAAATTTATTTGGTGGGGGGTTGAAGAAAAAGGAAAAAAGACAAAGTGTGTCATTACCATTATCTATTGACTTTTTGAGTATGACCAAAAATTAAAAGAAACCATCAATTACACGTGATAAACGAATGAATTTAACATCTCGATTTTTATAATTTTAGTCTCTGCGAATTCATTATGTCCGCAATTAGGAGTTGGAGAGAAATATTGTGTACCGAAGCTAAATGACGCTTTTAATTCCACTCAATGGATAACATTCGCATGGAATACCCTTGCGAATCCGTTTGCAGTTCAGGGTGCTCTAGACATTTATCTGCGTCGAACCCAGGGAACTAAAATTGTGGAAACTATGAAAAATGTTTCAAATGATTTAGGTCAATATTCGTTCAAACCTCAGAGTGGCTGGTTTGAACCGTATGATCCACAAGCAAACAATACTTTTCAATTCTTTTTTGTCGCTGCACCGTTAAATCAAGATCCTAACGACATAACCGATAGCGGACCCACCTTTTATATAACACGTGAGTTTATTGGGTTTATTTCGTTGTAATAAGATTAATACATGCACAATAATAATAATTGATACGATAATGTTACAGAATTACCTCCAACGAATCAGTCATCAGGAAGCACTATAACTTTAACGGCACCCACCGTAACCGCAACAACTTCTCCAGCGTTATCTGCTTCAAATGTGGGACTGGTCGACTCGACAAAAAATTCTCCACTCACCACCCCAATAATTGTAATAATAATAGTCGCCGCATTTTTATTGTTGATTGCTATTGCCGGATTGGCGTTCGTCATTTTGACGAGATCAAGAAATAGGAGTAAGCGACATCAAAGTCTTTCGAATGTTTCCACGTCTTCGAATGTCCCGATGATGGTTCAAACGAAAGATCTTGACAAAGGCAAACGTCTTAGTGATAAAAGCGGTGAACCGGAATCGCCAGTCGAGGCATCGTCGATATATTCCACGACTCCATTGGCGACAAAGAATAGCATGTCGAGTTTAAATCAGAAATTGGGGATGTCCGGCGGAATTGGTGTGACGACTACCACCACCACCACTACAACCTCAACTACAACACCCGGTCAAACTCCACCACCGAGTGTGTCTTTCTCTTCGGAATCTAATTTGTTGCAACCTCAACAGCAACCTGCATTTGATGCGGCAATGCTTTCTGATGCGTATCGACAAGTATTACGTAAACCAGATTGGAAAGAAGAAGATGACGACGAAGAATTTGATACAGAGATTGGGCTTTCGGAAGAAGAACGACGGAGACGACGAGAAGCCAAAGAAATAATGAAGCAAGAATTAGCAGAAGAAGGTAGAGGATTACATAGTGTACAGCGAAGACATACGAAAGTGCAGGTTCACAAAATTGATGAAGATGATGAAGATAAATCTCAGAAATAGTGATGCAATAAAAAGAAATCTTCTATTATTACATTACCCTTACCAACTTCATATTTTTCATGTGACATTCTTTAATACCAAGTACAACTTATTACTTCAATATTTAAACGTTTAAATGTTGGCATTACAAAATCCCTGAATGGATAATCATTCCCAACTTTATTTATTTGGCGCGTAAGAAATCAAATGTGTAATTATTTTTTTTAAAATGTGATATTTCATTGATGAAAAAGCTTTAACATTAACATTGGGATAGAATCGGGCATGGCATACATAGCATAAGAAAAGGATAGCATAGCATGGACTTGGAATTCGAATAAAACGACAAAGTAATGTGTGGTGAATCTTCGATCAATTGACTTTTGTTTTGGCTATATACTTACTATGTTATTGTTTATCATGCAGATTACTTTTTCCAATTCAGATGTATTTGTAGTTATTGATTTACATACATACATACATACATATACATATACATATATAATAATAATAATAATAATAATAATAATAATAATAATAATAATAATAATAATAATAATAATAATAATAGTAATAATTTTATTTTTATTTGTTTTTTTTTTACAACACAACATCCTCATCAATTTCCTCATCATCATTTCTTTTCAATATCAAATTAATTTTTCACTCAACTAAAACAAATT